TTATTATTATTATTATTATTAGACAAGATAGGTTTAACAAAATTGGTTTACACTTGTCTTGTCTACCATACTAGTAGCTCAAGGTTAGTCAGTGAGCTTCATGGTTTAGGAAGTATTTCTGGCACAACTCCAGCACTTTATTTGCTACATGACTGTCTTTTGAAATTAAAATATTGCTATGTAGCTATCTTGGCTGTTTGTTAGGTCTAATCAGTCCATATGTACCTTAGATAAACTTATCTATAGAAGTAGGTTTGCTCCAGTATTAGATATAAGGGATCTGACTACAATTCCACAGTCTAATACCACCTTCTTTTCTCAGATCACTCTAGAACATCTTCTGATGTTCAGAAACAGCATGAATGGAGTAGAAAAAGACAGAAGCTCTCATGCTATAACAAAGTAATGAAGAATCAAGAAACAGACATATCATTCTTTTGTTAATTTTGTTCTCGTAGAAAGCAAGAAGCAATTTTAGCCATTTTCTTTCTGCTACAAGAATGTCTGAAAACTATAGTTTTTGAAGTTCAGGACTTAATCTGTGCAAAATGTGTATGGGCATCTCCACGATACACCATTTTCTGCACAAGGGATTTTTTGTGTAGAAAATAATACTTTCTGTACACAAATGTTGCTTGCCCTCGTTATTGTTATTGTTGTGTGCCAGTGACTCCCAAACTCTGGGTGTTTGGACTTCATCTCCCAGAAGCCTCAGCCAACTTGTCAGTCTCAGTCTGGGATTTTGAGAGTCGAAGGCCATTGCTTGGGAAGCAAAGCAAAGCAGCTTCATTTATATACCGCTTCATACCATGCTATGGGGTGTCTAAATGGTTTACAACTGTAAGCTGATTGCCCCCCAACAGCTGGTTACTCATTTTAGCGACCTCGGAAGGATGCAGGCCTGAGTCAAGCCTGAGCCCTGGCTAGTATTGAACTCACAACCTTGTGGTTTATGAGTGAGTGGTTGCAGTACAGGCATTTAACCACTGCGCCACCAGTGTATGCCTTCAAATCATTTCCAGCTTATGGCATCTTTGTTTACAGTAAAGAGAACATTGAGAGTTTGGCAGAATTGCAAGTCCTTTGTGTATTGTTTGAGCTAGAGCTTAAGGGGTTTTCTTTGCAAGGTTTGTTCAGAGGAGGTTTTGCCATTGCCTTCCTCTGGGGCTGAAAGAGTGTGACTTGTCCAAGGTCACCCAGTGGGTTTCTGTGACTGAGCCAGGATTCAAACCATGGTCTCCAGAGTCAAAGTCCAAAACACACTGCAGAATCCTGAGAAGTCTAGTTTTGTGAAACATTTAGTCTTCTCTGTCAGAGAGCTCTGGGGCCAAAACAAACTACAAGTGCCAGGAATTCCCTAGCACTGAGCCAGCACACTTAAAGCAGTCTCAGGCTGGATTATTTCTGCAGTGTATGTGTTCTTGATCAAATATTAACCAGAATGAGGACTGCATTCAAGAAATGAGAAGACTAGGATCCAAAACCTACTGCAGAAATAATCCAGTTTGAGACCACTTCAACTCCCCTGACTCAATGCTAGGGAATCCTGGGAATTGTAGTTTATTGTGGCACCAGAGCTGTCTGACAGAGAAGGCTAAATGTCTCACAAACACTATAGTTCCCAGCATTCCCTAGCATTGACCCATGTCAGATAAAGTGGCCTCAAACTGGATTATTTCTGCAGTGTGTTTTGGGCCATAGTCAAACAAACCACAGTGCCATGCTGGCTCAGGAGTACATCTGTTGCAGTAATGGAGTTTCATGCCACTTTAATTGCTGCAGCACCATGCTGTGTCATCCTTGATCCCATTTTGGGAGAAGGGTAGGATACAAATCCAACAAATTAATCATCATCATCATCATCATCATCATCATCATCATCATCATCCTGGGATTTGTAGTTTTGCAAAGGTCTTCGCCTGCTTTGCTAAAGTGGGTGGATTTCTGTAGAATGGAGCCATAGCAGTTCAAGTGGGGTCTAACCACATTGTTTCTGCAACCCAGGACGCAAGTTAAGAAGAACCAAGCTTGGGAAAGTTACTTCCTTGAGCTAAAACACCCAGCTCAGAGTGTTCTGGAAGTTGTAATCTTTTCCTTAAAAGATTGAAAAGGTTCCAGGCCTTGAGAAACTGGATGCCTCTCCTCCCACTCAAACTTTCCTCCCTAAGAGTCAAAGGTAGAAGAACAAACCAATTTACTGAATGTTTTTTGTAGACCTCCAGTGTTTGAAAAGCTGGATTTATTTCTTGGTGCCACAAGTTTTGCCAGAGGGGGCTTTGCTATTGCAAGCCTGAGGCTGAGAGGGTGTGCCTTGGGTTTTTCCCGTGGAAGTCCTGTCCCTGGAAGTCTGCCCCAGAAGACAGAAGTCCCACCCCTGGCACTCAGTGACACCTGGTGCGGGAATGCCACTGAGTTTGGGCAATCGGGCTCTAAAAGGTTTGCCATCACTGATCTAGGGGTAACCTCAAATAATGTATTAATTGACACAGCACTGATACTCTTTAAATTAGCTATTTGCTTTCAATATCTCTATTTGCTTTCAATATCAAAGCAATGTAAAGCCTTTACTCTTGCTTGATTAAATCCTTTGCCATCACCAATACAAGAAGGGAAACTTAAAAAGATTCCATACTGCGTAAATGTCCCTGCGACTCTGGTTGCTGTCTGGTGAAATAGAAACAATAACTCATGTTCTTCTGTACTGTCCCTTTTATCTTGCAATTCGGGAAGCTCTTATTATGTTAGTATATGATTAGGTTTTTACTATTTGTGTATGCAGTTATATATTATGCCTATATTTTATATTCTTTATTACTTATATTTACATTTATATTCATATTTTACTGATGTCCATAATGTCCATGTATCTTACTAATGTTCATAGTATGTATCTATTTTATGTATTTTATGTATTCATATGAATTTGGGAATATGGCCATTTACTATGGTCATTGACCACATTAAAATGATTGATTGATATTGGGTGAAATGATTTTCAGTAAAGGTCTGAGTTCCTTCCTTGTAATATATGGAACTACGTCTCTTTTAGAACAATGTAAATGTAACTGTAGAGCCAGTGTGGTGTAGTGGTTTAAGTGTTAGATTATTACTCTGGAGACCAGGGTTTGAATCTCCACTTGGCCATGGAAACCTGCTGGGTGATCTTGAGCAGGTCACATTCTCTTAAGCCTCAGAGGAAGGCAAAGGAAAAAACCCCTTTGAACAAATTTTGGCAAGAAAAACCTGCCACAGGCTTGCCTTAGGATTGCCATAAGTTGGGAAATGACTTGAAGGCACACAACAACAACCAATGTAATTGTATTGTTTTAAATAATAAAAGTAATCTGAAAAATAATGATGATGTGCCACTTCTATTATGCATTGCTGAATTATTACAATTTTGCTTTCCTCTCCCACAGTTGTCATGCAGTCCACTCAAGTATGAACTACAGACTGTGATGCTTCTGTCCCACCTAGTTTAAATAAGTGGCCGGATTTACAACTAATAATGATGTACAGTGGGCCCACTGTATCAGTAAGATAGCAACCCATGGACTGGAGCTCCCATGATCACCCCACCCCATATTAGCCCGTGGTGCATTGATCCATGTACATACCTGCCACCACCCATTGACTGTTTTGGGCTTGAGTGCCCTCATTTTTTCTCATCTGAGAAGGACCTTGAAACCAAATCTCTGCAGATGAGAAGGGCCAACTGTATAGTAATTGGTAGTAGTTCTACTTCTTCATCCCCAGTAAATCTGACTTTGCCCATTGGTTATCATTTGTAAAACCAACAGTGCTTTATCATTACGAGTCCAGGAAAAAAAAAACTTGTACATTCTAGTGTACATTAAGACACTGGTTCAAGTATCTTAGAGAGTGAGTGGCATTCATCCCCCTTGGCAGAGTCCTCCCGCTAAATACAGTGATGCCAGCCAAGGAGGAACAGTAGGTGAAGGGACTGAAGAGGAGAGCGGGCTAATGCGATTATGGTTTCCACGGCTCTTTTCTCCCCACGGGGATATTCCATGTGTGTCTTTGCAGACACTGTGCAAACTACAAGTGTTAACTAAAAATCCCAAACACACAAGTTTGGTAGAAGGTGCCCCTTGCATCTTTGTTTACAGTAAAGAGAACATTGAGAGTTTGGCAGAATTGCAAGTTCTTTGTGTATTGTTTGAGCTAGAGCTTAAGGGGAAAAACCTGCAGTGCTTTATGGCATCTGCTTCAGCTGTGTTGCCCTAAAGAATGTCTTGTACCTCAGGTGTGGTGAATGGAATAAGTAGAAAGTCTGGATTCCCTGTGCCTAGTGTCTCTTTGACAAACTGTCATGTGTTTTTCTTTCAATTCATTAAGTGTTTATGTTTTTACCATGAATATAAGTGATTGCAGAATATGCCTGCCTGAGAAACACTGAGCACTAATTTAAATTAACACAAGACTATTACCTTAAACACACTGTGTTAAGAGATTTCCATGATCATTTGAGATCCAAAATGCCAGTAAATGGTGAAAGTTAAGGGCCATGCCCTTTATGAATGAATCACTTAGATTTTGTGGATATGATACAATATCCTGTATTCATACTACCTTGGAACTGGATGCCTGCAGTGGGCAGATGCCTGTCTTGCATTGTATTTAATCTACTGCAAGCATTTCTAGCGGGGCTAGTGAATTTTTAAATCCCCCCACTTCTTCAGTAAAAGATTTATCTGTTCACTAGAAGAGAGACATGAAATTCATACAGCTGAAACATTATGCAAATGAAACTAGCTGCCATTCCATATTACAGGCATAGAGTTGGATACCTGTAGTTCTCTCAGAATTACAGACCTGGATTTTGCAGATTTGTGATTTTAATCATGCATTCTGGAGCCCCTCAGCAAAACTGCCTTTGTAATTTAGGGGCTTTGCAGATGGCGCAAAGCGCCATCTTCGAGCCAAGGAAGAGGTGCGGAAGAGGTGCACGCCGCCTCTTCTGGCACCCTTTCTGCTGCTTGAGGAATGAGCGCTATTTTAGCGCTCCTTCCAGGGCCGCTCAAAGAATGGATTGGGGCCAAGGAGTGGGGCAGCCTCGGCCCCAATCCTCGGCTTCTCGGGTTGGCCCACGGCCGCCCATCTGTAGAGGCCCTTAGTGACTTCACAGCAAAGTCCTTGATGGCAGTATTATACTTACTGGTCAGTTATTCTTTGAAATTATCCTGTGTACATGTTACTGAATGATCCTCATTTTGGAGTCAGGAGTCATTACATTGAGAGAAAGAGGAGAGACAACTAATTGTTCAAGACAGAGAGAAGAAGTTGTCCTCTCATTTTGCTTTCATACATACATGATGCGGGTCCATAACAGAGTCATTTTTTTACTTGTCACATGTCATCCATGTGCCTCATGAAGAAAGAGAAGCTGGGTTCTGTCTGAAGAAAACAGAAGAGAGAGAGCTACTAGTGGGGGATGCTTTAGCTGAAGATCCTAAATTGAGCAGGGGACGGGACAAAATGGCCCACAGTCAGCCCTTCATATCCATGATTTTTTTATCCACAAATTCAAGCATCTACAGCTTGAAAACTTTTCAAAAATATATAAATTCCAAAAATGCAAACCTTGATTTTGCCATTTTATTATTAGAAATATCATTTTACTATGCCATTGTATTTAAGGGACTTGAGTATCCACAGATTTTGGTATCCATGGAGGTTCTGGAACCAAACTCCAGTGGATAGCAAGGGCCCACTGTAATGCAGTTTCAGTATTTCGCAATTTCATTGGGGTTCTCTAGCTTTCTTTCATCCAAGTAGATAGATCAGCTTCTCATGAAGAAAACCAGGTGAATATTTTGTATGTTCAGATGATTGCAGCTGAGAAGAACCTGTCATTATGGGCTATTCCAGTTACCATCTAATCCTGTGAGGTGCATTCTGTTTCAAAAATAGTGGACTCTTGCATGTTTCTAAAGTTCAAGAATACAGCTTATTTTACTAACAACAGGACTTGAAAGTTTTAGCATACGTAAAATATGTAGATGTCACTGTATAACAACAGGAACATAATGATGTAAACCATGTAAATGTAATTTTAAAAAAGTCAAACAAGCCTGCTGTTTTGCCACAGTCTACCATGCAAGCCTACTTTCACTGGTAGGTTGTGCCATTTTTCTCTCTGGCTGTCATTATCTATTGGAGATTTCTGTCCTGTGATGGTTTTATTCCACTGCAAACAGCTGTAGTAGGGCTATTGAACTTTGAAATTGCTCTCATCTGAAGTGAAGGAGATTTTTTTTCAAGGTAGAGATTACTTCAGTTGTTCAGCATTCCCCAACCTGGTATCCCCTCAGGTATTTGGTCTATAAACCCAGCATTTCTAATTATTAGCCATGCTTACCTGAGCAACTGAGAGTTTGTCCAAAACCCATGAAGAGTACCAAATTGAGAGAGATTAGTGATGTATGTTTGTTTGGTAGAATAGATCAGGCTGGTTGTCCATGTTCTCTCCCTGGTAACCGTATCTCCACTCCTGTTTAAAGTTGCCAGGTTTTCAAAATAGCAATAAGGAATAGTCAAAATTCATGATGTGCAGGGTTGTGACAATCAAGAAATAGCTATTAACACCTTCTTCCCATACCCAAATAACAAATGGAAGTAATGATTTCAATTCTTAGTCATATATTTCTCTGCAAAGTTGTAGAAATATACTGTCCCCATTCACAAATTACATGATGCTCATATTTCTGTCTTTAATGAGACCCATACCTGCAAATATGGGGATTTTTGGCTTATACAATCCTATTGTTTTTGGCTTATATAATTCAATTGTTCAGTCTATATAAAAAACAAAAGCTTTCCAGCCCTCAAAGTAGGGACATCCCTTAAAAATAGGGAACATCTGTTAGCTTTGTAAGGAACAAGATTTCTAGAAGGCAAAACAAAGAATGTCCCTTGTAATATGGGATATCTAGCAACCCTCCTTCCTCCTTTCTGTCCAAGTAGTGGTGTGACTTCACTTTAGCTGTCATGGCAACATCCTCTGGAATCCAAGGATTTGCAATATGGAAGGAATGTTTAGATATTTATTTATTTATTTATTTATTTATTTGCTCTAATGTCTCCCCAGATTAGAAATTACAAATCTTGGGCTGCCATAGGAAGTTGCCTTGGGAGATAAAGTGGAATCACAGTGTCATAACTGTGCAATGTGAAGGAGCCCCTGTTTTACGCCATCACCTCTGGCCATTCCTATGTTCACTGCATAGCAACACAGGCTCCTGCTGAGCATGCCTAACAGGAGGATATTGTATAAACCCCTGTAGGATTGTGTAAGCTGAGAAACTGCTTTTAATAAAACCAGTAAGGATCTTGTGTTACTCCTAGGGAAAAATGTCCACTAGATCTCCCCTGTATAACATAGAAAGCTGTTAAACTATGCTATACAGAGAAATTAGCCGATCCAGTTTAACTGCAGGGAACGTCTATGAGCAAAACAACAAACAGTACTTATCAAATTATTAGAGGGCACCCAATAAATTTTAAGCTCTTATAAGTAAGCTACTTTTTTAACTTTTCTCCCTCATAATCTGTGTGGCCCATTCTGAAAGTAAACCTTATTTTCTGGCGTATAAGACTACTTTTTAGCCCTGGAAAAACTTCTCCAAAGTTGGGGGTCGTCTTTT